AACTGTGGGAAAGTTTGAAGAAACGATTCTCCGTTGGAAACAAGGTTCGCGTGCACCATCTCAAAGAACAGCTAGCTTCGTGTCGTCAAGAAGGAAAATCAGTGTTGGAGTTTTTTGGACGATTATCCAAATTGTGGGAAGAACTCGACACATATCAACCACTTCCTAGCTGTACTTGTTCTGCTGCCGCGGAAATAGAGAAGACCAGAGAAGCAGAAAAGATGCATCAATTTGTAATGGGATTAGATGAAAGCCGGTTTGGTTCGATTTGCCAAACAATCATCTCGTCTGATCTCGATATGGATATTGGAGAAATTTATGCAAAAGTAATTCGAGAAGAGCAACGTCTGAACTCTGCCAAAGATCGTGAATCACAGCAAAACGCTGTAGGATTTGTTGCTAAAACAGAAACAGATCAAACAGCTACACGACTCAGCAGTGGAAGAAAAGTCCCTCAATGCACGCACTGTGGGCGTCGAGGACACGAGAAGTCAGGCTGCTGGCAAGTTGTTGGCTATCCAGACTGGTGGGAAGAGCGTCCACCAAACAGAGGAAGTGAAGGAGGAAACAGAGGCGGTTCGCGAAGCAATAGAGGTCGTGGATCGTCGACACCTGATCGTCCCAGAAATACTGGTGTTCGAGCAAATAATGCACAAGCAACAACATCAAACTCTTCCTCATTCCCCGAATTTTCTGAAGAGCAATGGAAGGCCTTGTCTCAGATGATCAGTGAAAGGACTAGAGCCCCCTCCGACAAGCTAAATGGTAAGATCAGACACGGTGACTTGATACTAGACACGGGAGCATCTCATCACATGACAGGAGATCTCTCGTGGCTTCTCAACACATCACGCATATCACCGTGTCCTGTCGGCTTCGCCGATGGAAATAAAACATATGCAACTCACGTTGGAGTTTTACCATTAACAGATCGCATTACTCTTGAGAATGTTTTATTTGTTCCCAATCTCAACTGCTCTTTGATCTCGGTCTCCAAATTGTTGAAGCAAACAAATTGTTTTGCTTTACTAACTGATACGTTGTGTGTATTACAGGACCGTTTTACGAGGACGCTGATTGGAGCCGGTAAAGAGCGAGATGGGGTATATTACTTTCAGGACGTCATGGCTGCAAGAGTACAATGCATAACTAATCAAGCTGTTAGATTGGTAGATCAGTTACGTTGGCACCAGAGGCTCGGACATCCTTCGTTTTCAGCTTTATCGTCTTTACCTTTTGTTATTTCGAATAAACAAGCTTCCCCTAGTCCTTGTGACACTTGTTTTAGGGCAAAGCAAACAAGAGAAGTTTTTCCTGATAGTTTGAATAAAACGAGTGAGTGTTTTGCTATGATTCATTGTGATGTCTGGGGACCGTATAGAATCAAGTCCTCTACTGGAGCTGTCTATTTTCTCACTATCGTTGACGATTACTCTCGAGCCGTCTGGACTTACCTTCTGCTTGAGAAATCAGATGTAAAAGCTGTGCTCCAAAATTTCTGCAAAATGGCGGAAAAACAGTTTGGAAAATCAGTTAAAATTGTCAGGTCAGACAATGGAACCGAATTTACATGTCTTGCACACTACTTCCGCGAGACTGGGGTCATTCATCAAACCTCATGTGTGGGAACGCCTCAGCAAAATGGGCGTGTCGAGCGCAAACACAGGCATATCTTGAATGTCTCACGCGCATTATTGTTCCAAGCCGGATTGCCAACCAAGTTCTGGGGCGAAGCTGTCATGACTGCAGCACACGTCATCAATCGTACGCCTACGAAAGTGCTGCAAGATCGCTCACCATACGAGCTCTTACATGGAACCAAACCTCAGTATGATCAACTACGTGTTTTCGGTAGTCTTTGTTATACACATTTGCGTTCTCGAGACAAAGACAAGTTCGGTCCACGTAGTCGAAGATGCATTTTTGTTGGATATCCGTTTGCACAAAAAGGGTGGAAAGTGTTTGATCTTGAAAGAGAAGAGATATTAATCAGCCGTGATGTTGTCTTCTACGAGGACGAGTTCCCATATCTCACGGCATCACAAATATCAGTGGAGACACAGTCACATGTTAGACTAACAGACGCTTCACCAGACGAGGATTGGGAGCTAGCACCAATTACGAGGTCTAACGACAGGGGGAGTAACACATCAGTTACTGAGGCTTCTCCTATGATTCCTTCATCAGTTCCTTCTTCCGCTGACACTACTACGCCACTTCCTGATCATGTTGTTACAGAAGAAACAGAGGACAACACCATCTCAGATGCTGCAGATACGGGTGCAGAAGATCTTTCTGAACCTATTACACAGACCCCAATCACTCCAGAACAACTTGGTCGCGGTCAACGGGTTAAAGCACCCCCAGTCAAATTCCAGGACTACATTGCCTACACTACAGTTTGTGTTACAGATACCCCACTCGCTCTACAAAGTACCGCTCAATCGCCCTCTGAAACAGTCTCA